GGAGAACCTTGCATTTATCGGCGTTGAACACCATCAGATTCTCGTCCGCCCACTTGCTGAGCCTGTCCAGGTCAGCCTGGATCACGCCCCCTGTCTTCTGGTATGGATGCTTTTCCCCAAAGTTTGGTGTCATTGGTGAACTTGGCCAGTTTGCTTCTGACTCCAGTGTCCACATCATTAATGAAGATGTTGAACAGTACAGGTCTAAGGTCACCGGGCACCATGATGATTGACTTCTGTCAATTACTAGCCTCTGGGTCCAACCATGGAGCCAATTTCCCAGCCAGCGGATCGTGGTGGACCCAAGGCCACAATTGGCCAGTTTTGCCAAGAGGTGATCATGGGATACCAGATCGAAGGCTTTTTTGAAGTCAAGATATATGACCTCAATCTCTTCTCCCTTGTCTAGGTGATAGGTCACCTGGTCGTAGAAGGAAATGAGATTGGTCAAGCAAGATCTACCCGCAACAAACCCGTGCTGGCTATCCCTCAGGATGTTGGCATCGGCCAGTCCATTAAGGATGGCCCCTTTAATAAACTTTTCTAAGATCTTCCCTGGGATAGAAGTCAGGCTGATGGGCCTATAGTTTGCCGGATCCACTTTCCTCCCTTACCTTAGTGTGTGTGTGTGTGTCGGGGAGGGGTGTGATACTATTAAAACTAACTGTCCCTTCTATTTTATTGCTTTTACTTTCAGTGTGTGATACCAGTGATCATAATTCATGTCACATACTGAAATAAGAATACTATTTAAATATATGCTTTCCTAATTTTTAAAAGTTAATTTAGCATATCTCTGAGGCATCAAAGCAATAACTATGAGGTTCTTTAATCCCAAAACAACTACAGCGTGTGAACAGTAATGAAAATTTCCCACTCCACTTGATTATGTCTGTCTTAGAGGGGCCATATCTTAAACATGAGGTTGTTGTTTAGCCTCTGGCTCATTGAGGCTTTGGTCTGAGCTCAGTCTATTAACAAGATGACCAAATATGATTATACTGTTTTACACTGAAGACATCTAGCCACTAAAAATTGAACTGAAACTCAGTAATGCATTTACACAGACTACCAAATAGCCACTTTGTTTCTTTTACAACCTGGCCACTATGTTATTTACTTAATTATGCAGCAATATCCTTCCTGATTCCTGCAACCCATTTGCAATATATTTTTATAGTGCATCACAGCTTTTCTCTAGCATGGCAATTGAGATTTTCTTTAAATGTCTCACTGATCCAGTCTTCATTCAGTTCATTTACTACTAGCCTTTTAGGAGCTCTGCACCATCTGAAATTTATGCTTATGTAAAATTATATTTGTGCATCCTAGCTGATGTATTTTTCTATTAACCTGCTCAGTACAATTTTCCCCAACTAGGAATTGATGGACCCAGACTCTGGTGGCAGGGGAATGTCTACACTGTAGATCCCAAACCAGACTCTGGCCTGAGTTAGCTATTCTGCTGCTCAGCAATGTTGGATGCCTATACACACCATGGGGTTTAATCCTTACTAAATTAAATAGGTTTATACAATTTAAACTTGTTTATTTTAGAGCGTTGCATCATTGTGTTTGCACACACTTGGTTTTCGAACGAATTAAGCTCAGTCTCTGGCCAGCATGGCAGGAGAGTGGGGTGGTCCAGCACTGCCTCCCCTGGGCCAGGGCCCCCTACCCCATGTCCTGCCACGCAGCTGTGGGAACAGGGAGCTGGCAAATGGTACATGAAAACAAAAAAAGTGGAAGCAATTTGAAAGCAGAAGCAATTCAAAGTGGTGAACTATAGAAAAGCCGCAGCTCCATCTGGTGGATAAAGAGGCTCATTACACGTTTTTGAGTGCCTTTGTGTTTGCATGCAACCAGTCCATGGATGCAATGCTTTAATTCGTGGTGAGCCAAACTAAACTACATCCGAGGAATCTTACTTTAATGCACCAGAAAGACTTTTAAAGTGTCTGGAAAACCTGCCTGTGCAAACAGTCACGCTGTTGCAGTGCAAGAAAGGGCAAAAAATGTGGCGGGTACAAAGGCCCATTATGATTTAGGTACTTCTAGGAAGGCTCAGAAATAGACATTTATTAGATGCCCAGGGAACTTTCAGATGTAATGATAAAACATTTAAAAAGGGCTGAGGGACAGGCTGCTGAACTGTGTGTCAGATAAGCCAATGTAGCTGCAGTATCTGTCCACTCCTTTACTTGTACAAATAGACTAGTGCTGTAACTTTAAAAATAAATTAAATTGATTTAAAGTCACAGTGGCTTAGGAACAGACAGAAAAAACAGCTACATTGGCTCAGTGTTTCTTGAAGTAAACCAATATAATTGTTTCATCTGTCCACCTCCAAATTTAGGCGTCCAGGAAATGTAGGTGCCTCCAGGATTAGAAAGTTGACCAAAAATTATGAAGACCTATAGGTGCCTTAACTGAGTTAGTTGCCCAAGTCCTTCTGTCGATTTACCTCTAAGTCACATAGCCACGGTAGCACAGAAAAACTGATAGATGCACAAAATCATTCTTCACTTTACTGCACATTACGATCTCAAATCGCAATGGTCCTCTGCTCCAAAATGATAAATCACCTGCAAATCCAATCAGTGGTCAGTTTCCCTAAGAATACCCCTATCACAGCTAATTTAAAATCAAGGAACTCTAGTTGCCCAACTCACAAAAGTAGACAAGTCAAACTGAACTAACACTATTGAAATAATCAAATAGGCTTGGCCAGACTGTTAAAACATACTTAATAAAGATACAATTTCAACAGTCAACAGTTTGACACTCACGTTACCTTTTGAGTTAGTTTCCTGTTAATTTTTATTTATTCAGATTTTGCATTAACAAAACAACCAGGCTTGACTTTCACTCTTTAATACAATGTTCAAATCTGGATGCTAAATGTGACAGAGGAAATTACTGAGGAAGCAGAAATTATCTCTTGTTCCTTTGCATAACTTTCCTGGTTGTAAGAACAGAAAGGAAAGAAATGGATCTCTACCATGTGAGCATTTGCCTGATGGATCACTGCACCTTCTCGGGCACCAGTGAGATACAGACCTCGACCAGTTTAACAATGCATTGGAATAATTCACAAGATGGTTTTAGTACCCTGACAGCTTCTTCCAGATAGTCTGCTGCTATTTTCAGGCTGTTCTTAGTAGTTTGTCCCTGAAGAATAGCTTGTTTGAAGCCAGGCAGTGAGAAACTGGTTGACGGATTGAGTGGTCCAGTCTGCTGAGCGGTACTCCTTGAAGGGATGCTGCTATTGTCAGTAGTTGGTAGTATTTTCGTGAGGTCATTGTGATTTATAAGGTCAGCAACTTGGAGGGATAAGGCAGGGGAAGTCACCAACTGATGAATGGCAGACTCTATTGAGTCTGAGAGATTGCCATGTTTCAGCAGCACTGCAATGAATGGACCACATATACCTCCTAAAACTCCCTTATAATTTTCATACAGGTCCTTTACAACTGCAATCTTCTCCTGCAGAGAGGTGATGGGGCCAGCAATTTTAGCATACAACTGTTGGCCGATGTGATGCTTAACATCTTTGGCTTCTGTTTCTACAACAGTTTGCATCTCTTTCAGAGAGCTGACCAAGAGCTGAAGGTTCTCTTTAAGGCTAAGGCTTTCTGTCACTGAAATGATGGGGAAGTGGGTACCAAGGTGCTGATTGAGGATTCTGAATATTGTGTTGGTTGAAGAGACATATAAATACACATAATCATACAGAGTCTGGCTGGCTTTGATCAGTCTTTCCTCATCTGTCTCTGAACCCAAGAAGGACAACATTTCCAGGAAGGAGACTGCACACTGAAAACCAAACCAAAAAACAAACAAACTTACAGGTGAGGAAAATCAGAGATACTTGTATTCTGCGCTGTAATAGAATATTTCATACTTATTTAAAAAGACAACTGGAACGAGAAAAGAATTTCTCTTAAACAGCACATTGGCGTAACCCTTTACATTTTGCATGCCTCCTTCTGTGGGGTAAATTCAGGTCTGGTGTAAGCAGATGCCTTTCGCTGATATGATGCTTATGCTAGGTTTGAACTTGACCCTTTACATATAAGCAAAAATATAGCATTTAAGTATAAGAATAAGTGTAACAGGGCAGCTCTGTGGCCTTGGCAGTGGTGGTGGAAGGGGCCGCTGGAGTTGCCAGGGCCAGCCACCAGCTATGGTGACCATTATTTTTGCATCCCATTTAAAGGCAGGACCTTTGAAATACTTAAGTAATATTTGAAATATTTAGGTTTTTTTTTTAAATGTAGGTAATTGATATATATTAATATTTAGGTAATATTTGAAATATTCAGGTAATACTTCATAGATTTCATAGATTTTTAGGATTGGAAGGGTAGATCATTGAGTAGATCATCGAGTAGATCATCGAGTCCGACCCCCTGCCCTGGGCAGAAAAGAGCGCTAGAGTCAGATGACCTCAGCTAGGTGCTTGTCTAGTCTCCTCTTAAAGACCTCCAAGGTAGGGGAAAGCACCACCTCCCTTGGAAGCCCATTCCAGATTTTGGCAACCCTCACCATAAATAATTTTTTCCTAATGTTTAATCTAAATCTGCTCTCCATCATTTTATGGCTATTGTTCCTAGTAAGCCAAGGGGTGCCCTGGTAAACAGTGTATCCCTTATTCCTTGCTGTGCCCCCCAAATGAATTTGTAGGCGGCCACAAGATCCCCCCTCAGCCTTTTTTTGCGGAGGCTGAAGAGATTCAGGTCCCTCAATCTCTCCTTGAAGGGTCTTACCTGTGGACCCATATGAGTAGCCCTCCTCTGGACCATCTCAAGATTATCCACACCCCTCTTGAAGTCTGGTGCCCAGAACTGGATGCAGTACTCCAGCTGTGGTCTTACCAATGCTGCACAGAGGGGAGGTATCACCTCCTTAGACCTGCTCGTGATGCACCTTCTAATGCATGAAAGAGTGCGATTGGCTTTACTTATCACTTCATTACATTGACGACTCATGTTCATTTTGGAGTTGACTATGACTCTGAAATCCCTTTCTGCTCCTGTGCTGCTTAGGAAGTCACCTCCCAGTCTGTAGGTGTGTTGGTGATTCTTTCTCCCTAGATGCAGCCCCTTGGGCAGGCTGCAGGCCAGTTGCCCCAGCCTGCTAGCTGCCTGGCACGCTGCACCTCAGTGCCACGTGCCTGCCTGGCCCGTGCCATCCAGGGAAGCAGGGTGCTGCAGCCTGCTGCAGGGTGCTGTAGGCTCCAGCCAGGCCTGCCAGCATCCAGGCCCAGCTGCAGGCTGCTTCTGGATGCCAGAGCCAGCTCCACCTGCCCACAGCCTACCCCCAGCAGTCTGCCTTAAGCCTGCAGGTGCTGTGGGGCATTGCCTTAGCTGTGTGGCTGTCACTCTCATGTGCATGAAGGTGTGATTTTGTGAATCTGGGAATATGGGCCAAACACATCTTCTATCTTCCCCTGCAGGACTTTCAGAAGAGCAGAGATAGAAGCAGAAAATGAAGATTAAAAACAACGGAAGATAGAAGATAGAAAATAGAAGATTATAGACATAAGATTAGACACATTATAAAATTAGAAGGGTTATAGAATAGATATAGAAATAGAATAGAATAGAGTATTTCTAGTTATTTATTATTTATAGTATAGTTGTTAGTGATTTATTTATAGTTTATATACAAAGGAAAAAGAATTTTATATTTTTCTACTATATTTTTCTACTGTTTTATACTGTTTTTTTCTTTCTAAGGTTAAAGCTTTTATTCAGTGAGTAATATTTTTATCATGGATTGAAACAAATATTTTAAAGGTGAAAATAAAGGTTTTAATTTATAAAGTACCATGTGGATGTGATGTGTTTTCTTTCACAGGCAGATTGGTGTGGGAGTCCATGAGGATTGGGGGTGGGGGAGGGGAGGACTGTGCAGGCTATTGTGGCTTGGCGTGGGGATCTCTGTGGACAGCTACAGCTTCAGGGAAGTGGGGAGGGGGAGGAATACATTTCGGGAGTGAGGGGATTATTGGTTTGCCAGCACTCCCTGCAGTAATTAAGTACTAAAGAGATCAGCAGGGTGGATTGTTATATGACTCCCCCTGCTGACATTTACTGTGAATTGTAAACTGTGAATTTTTTTTCAGATGCAACGTTTCACAAGGAAAATTCTCAGAAAGATCTGTAGGATACCTGTGAAGTAGACATTTAGAAGCTTTGTCCAGTTCCACAGGATCTAGTGTCACATATTTTAGGACTGAACGAAATGTAAAATAAAATGTTATTGGTTGCTTTGAATCTGCACTCTAATCCATAGATAATGTTGTCCAAAGTTGCATCAAAAACATTCCTTCTAAATAAAGATTCTGGATCATTTTCAGAGATGGTAGAATGTGATTCCTCAGCTGTGTCATCATGAAATCTTTTTCGCTTCTTGCCGCTCTTCTTTGGTAACTGTGGCAAAATTCCCATGCCTTCTGCTACAAGACATGCTTCCTGTAGAATTTTGGGCCACTGATCTCCAAGTTGTTTTACTTTTACTGATTCAATCAAGAGAGAGTCCCCTGACTTGTAAAATCTTGTTTCTGTCATCAATACTTGTAAGAACCTTGTACCAGAAGCTAGCCAACAAAAGGCATGAAAATGAGCTGAAGTACCTTTCCAGTGCTTCCAGCTGTGATTGAGCTTTAGTGTCAAATTTAATTCAAGAGCACATTCCAGTGCTTCCAGAATACCTGGAAGATGCTTGGTGAGTGGACGGATAGCATTAGCACGTCCAGCCCAGCATGTCTCTGACAGAGAGTGGAGTGAGCAGTGTATCTTACCTGTTATAATTTTCTACCTCACTGAAAAACACAAAAAGCTGCTGCACACAACCAAAAGATGTTAATGTTTCAGTACGTGCTGCTGCAGCATTAACTCTTACAAGATTTAGTGAATGGGAAGCACAAGGAGAATACACATCAACTTCATTTTTGGACATAATGCAGGCCTGAACACCTTTTATTTTCCCTGACATATTAAAGCCATTATCAAAACCATGACCCCTACAATCATCAAGAGGAATGTTATGACGCTTCAAGCTGGCAATTAGCATTTCAGCTATCTGCTCTCCATTTTCTAAAACAAAGTTGATAAACTCAAAAAACCTTTCTACAATGCTAAATGTACCAGTATTTTTGTTGTGAACTACAAATCGGATTATCAACATGTGTTGTTCTTGGTGAGAGACATCAGGCGTAGCATCACGTATGGTAGAATAATAAATGGTCTTTTCTCTCTCTGCAAGAATGGCCGTCTGCACACTCTTACCACATAATTCAGTAAACTCATTCTGACTCTCCCATGAGAGATAATGAGCCAGTCCTTGCATCGTTTTTACCTCTGTTTGCTTCTGTTTGACTTTGGCCCAATGTTCACGAGTGATGCTGTCAGAATGAGGTATTAACTCAAGAGTCCCACGACTGCGTGGGTCACCTATCAGATTATTATCCCCTTGGAACGCTAAACCTCTTGAAGCAAGACATAAGGTAACATCCAACAATCTTCTCAGTATTTCTTTCCATCTTGTTGCTTCTCTTAATATTTGTTTTTGAACAGCACTGCCCACTCCATGTTCACCTGACAGTGACTGCTGTAATTCCTTCCACTGGCAGTAGCAAGTTGTATGTTCGATGCTCTTTTCATGTTCAGGAAGTTCATGATACAGCTTTTGCCATTTTGTCACATTTGGTGAATACCCTTCACTTTTTGCCAGCATTCTGCATTGTTTCTGTCCCCCGACATGGAAAACAATACAGCACCTGATTGGGTAGGACTCCAAACAAGCCAGTCTCTTGGTAGCTGTTCTCCATTGGAAGTCTTACACTTGAGAAGAAATTCAGGATACTTATGCACACCAACATGTTTTGGAATTGACTTTGCTAGCTTCCACATTTCTTCAAAAGTCAGGACACCAGATAGAACAATTTTTTGCCAGACAGAATCTGTTATCAGTTTAGGCCACAAGCCTGGGTCTTTGAAAAAGCATGAATCAGATTGTGTAGTACTACTCTCTCCTGTTTTTTGTAACCCTTCTTCTGAACGTAGTGGTGCTAATGGTGATATTACCTGACTATCTTTTGAAAGTATTAGATTGGAGTTACATGATGCATCTGGCAGCTTTTCTTCATCATCAGTTGCCACAGGCACAGTCTCTATATTAAAGTCATTTCCATCTTGCTTTTGTTCATCTACTTTCTTAGGTAGTGTATTGCCTGAGCCAGACTGCAGAAAGGCCTTGTCTGTTTTGAAAAACAGGAAGATTGATTGTTGTCTTTTAGCTCATTTTAGTTCCCTTTGTTTTACCTCCTTACATTTCTGGCTGCCTGATATGTATTTATAGTCAGAGATGGTGTGTGTGTGAGAGAGAGAGAGAGAGAGAGAAAGAAATGTCCTTTCCTTCCAGGCACTAACCCCATACCTGTTTCATTTCTACTCTGTGCAAGGTTTAGACCATCAGGCCTAACTCATTACTCACTTTTGGGCCTGTAAATCCTACCAGCAACACTATGGCTTCCACTGTCCCTGGGATCAACGTCCCTGGTTATATGGTTAAGAAGGATGTGGATAACCTTGAGAGGGTCCAGAGGAGGGCCACTCGTATGGTTAAGGGTTTACAAGCCAAGCCCTATCAGGAGAGACTGAGGGACCTGGACCTCTTCAGCCTCCACAAGAGAAGGCTGAGAGGTGATCTTGTGGCCACCTACAAATTCACTAGTGGGGCACAGCAAGGAATCGGAGATGCTCTGTTCACCAGGGTGCTTCTTGGGGTAATAAAGAACAGTGGTCACA